CTGGCCCCCTATTTCTTAACTAACCCTTCATAAAACATTCAAATCATGTCCTCCAAACCAAATGAGTCTCTCACAAGGAGGCCTGCACTACATGTTTGAAAACAGCTGGGTTGAGTGGATGAGTTTAGAGGCAGCACAGTTACTTTTAGAATATAATAGGAGTGTGGAGTAGATAGAAATCAGCATTAAGTAATTGCACTGTACTGTATGTATATAGTATGTGATAAGCAAGTCAAAGCCTGTTAGTGCTCTCTGGTGGACAAACTCTATATGGACAACAATATTCCCAAATGAGAAAAAAACATTTAACTTATAAAGCAACAACAACAAAATTTAAAAGATAATTAAAAAAAAAATAATAATAATAATAATAATACAAAAATACAAAAATCAGGATTGTATATATTTATTTAATAGGCTAATAATTATAGAGGGCCACGAGTGCCAAAATGAATCAAACAAATACATCATTAAATGTGTCATTAAATCATTAAATTGGAAACAAACACAAATAATTAATTAAATGTATTATATTAATTGATATATGATTAATGATTCATGTATTTAACTAATTATTCATTTCCATTTTAATTAATTAACCACACATTTAATTAAATGATTCATTACGTATTTATTTAATTATTTTTGGCATTCGTGGGCCTACATAAATAATGGCTATTGTTACAGCAAAGGATACCACATCCAACTTCAAACACATTGTTAGTCCCGATTGTCATGGCCTTTGGCTCGACTCCCTCCGAGTCTGGCATTATATTCTCTGGATAACTATTAAGAGACGTTAAAGGAATGAAAGTGTGCATGAAAATAATCACTCAGGAAAAAATAAATGCAAAACAATAAAAATAAAAGCGAGACTGTAAAGTCACACATCACCTATGGGTTACCTGTTAATGATAAGCGCCTGCTCCTCTATTAGATTCCCCTCTCCGATGATTATAGGCCCTGCTTCTGCTATGATCCGCGCTTTTGGGTGGACCACTGTTCTAGCGCCTGTGAATGAAGAAGAACTGGGTTTACATGGAGCTTAAAGCAGCAGCTGTAGATTTCTTTATTCTTTCTTTTTTATTTTGAAGGTCGTAATGATATAAAAGACTCACCGATAGTCACATCTCCTCTTATTTCGCTTTCAACACACACAACGGCTCCAGCGGCGATTTTAGCACTGCAGGAAAACACGCACAGACACACACAGATATACGGAGATCATCATTCAAATAAACGAGGACTACACGACAGCGAGAATAAGCAGCACATATAGATCATCGCCTGGCTGCTACAGTGTCAGCCAGTGCAATACACGGAGAATATGATTGAACATTTTAATTTCCTGACATCTGTCATTGCTTCAAAATACGCCACGCACGGTGCAGTGCAGGTTGGAAAGCAGGGGGGGTCTACCTTTTCTGTGCCATTAGTTGCTTAGCGTCGGACATCTTCGTGATGAAGAATGAATTGATCCACGGTCGATTATTTATCCTTCAACTGGGGAGCTCTTGGGTTGATTGCATCTGTCTGGCTGGAACATCGTTTTCCCCCTCTGCTGGGACTCTTATATAAATGCTGCAAAGGACTCCAACGCTAAAAACGAGGTGCACGAAGTCAGATTGCAACTTAAGCCACGCACAGTCTAAATTATCTGTGATTTCAAGCCCAGTTTAATGAGTACCACTTTGTGTTTTTACACACTCACGCTGACATAAAGATCGCCTCCTTTTTGCTGCACTGTCGGTGTGCCTCCTGCAGGGTGCAACAATCACCAACTTTTGGGAGCTGATGGAGCTGTACAGTGAGCCAGTGACATTAATGCCTTTAACTAACAGAGAGGAAACTGTGCTGACCCGTTTGTTCATTTAGTGTCAAATACTCTCACATTTTTGTGTCTACTGATTTCTCCCGGAGAGTGTAGGCTTTTTCAGAATAATCCAATTTCTGCCTTTGGATTGTCCGTTAAGTGGGATTTATATTTTGTAAAGTCAACCGGAGTTCACTAGGAATAAGCCGGAAATTGAACAATGTGTTATTTTCAGATTAAAACGATCTACTCTGCCCTTTTTAAAACAAGCTCAGTTCAATTTTCTAGTCATTACAAAGTGCATCTGATGTTTGTTAAGTAACCCTATTGTTATTATTACTATTATGAGAATTTTACTCGCCTTGTTAGGTCTCTTCAGGCTTCTTCAGTTCAAAAAATAGATTTGTTAGGAAATGTCAGGTATTTAACCCCTTGTGGGTGTTGTGCCCTTTGGAGGTGGTTGTGAAGTCTGTGGACCCACTCTTAATCGTGTGAGTCGTCCAATGAATGTAATTAAAAAGGCTTGCGTCATCATTGTGCCCTATACCATTATGCGACCTAATGAGGTCATCTGAGGCAAGGTGTGAGTGGGGGTTGAAGGGATTTCAAGATGACATTGTGAGTGGCTGACAGCTTGTGTCGTAAGCCATGATCTCCGTTCGATGATGGTCCTTTACAGTGGACATAAATGGCCTCCTTTACCCCTTTTTCAAGACACGTCTTCTCAGTCAAAAATGTCAATGTTGACATCCTTGAAAGATTGACTTTTATACTTTAAGTACAGATGTATTGTTGTAAAGCAGATACTTTCAGCCAGAGGTTTCTTCCTCTTAAAAGGGAGTTTTTCCTTCCCACTGTTGCCTGTGGCTGCTGGGGTTTCTCTCTCTATTTTTTAGGCTCTTTACCACACATTGAGGTGACTAAGTTGAACACACCCACATTCTAATGAATGCATCAGAGAGAAACTTGGGGTTCAGTATCTTTTCCGAGGATACTTTGACATGCCAGGGCTCAAACCACTAACCTTCCAAGATGACCTGCTCTGTCTCCTGAACTAGAACCAGGACCACCCAACAAAGGACGTAGGAGAAGGAGTTTTCAGTGGGGAGGAAAAGAGGAAGACCTCAGAGGAGGCTCATGTATGTAGTAAAGGAGGACATGCAGACGGTTGGTGTGATAGAGGAGGATGCTAGGAATGATGGGGACTGCTAAATGGAGCAACTAAAGAAGATGAAGAAGAAGGTGGTCACTTCTCTATACAGATTAATTTAAAGTAAATAAAAACTCTTGTAACAACAAACAGCATGTTGACTGCTGTGGGTTTCCCTTTTTGAGCGGCGCTGAATAAGCGACATAATTTTCCGACTTTTATTTCGAAGTTAAGCAGCGGAAGTCCAGCTGGTTATTCCGTCATACTTGTCGGCTGTTGAGTTTTGAAGGAGAGCGAAGCGTGTCAAAGCGAGCTGCGAAAGGGGAGCGCGCAAGTCGGAGTACATTAATTAGACCGCAGCTCGTTTGAACACCGGCTTCCGTACACAATACAGCTTAAACACAACTTAAGTGTACCGTTAATATATACATTTAAAAAAAACAACCATCCTGAAACAGCAGGTATATATTTTTATGCCCCTTCATTTCTCTCTTGTTCTTTCTCTAATGAGAGTGAAGAAGTGGGTCTAGCGGCGCGGCGGGGGAGCTGAATTTCACGCGTTCGCCTCAACTTTGTGGAAATATGTGAAGTGTGATAAATGCCACTGGAAAATGGAGCAGTCGGCTACTCTGGACATAGAGACTCTGAAGGTAAGCCCGTCACAGTGATAAAAACACATTTTTTTAAAGTCTTCGTTTTAATTGGAACCGCGCACGTGCACAGGTGGCATTAACCATAGCTTAAGGCGCATGTCCAGTTTGGCAGCATTAAAGGAGTTTTAGGCGTGTTCTGGCGTGCAGGAGGACACCTGTGGATGCCTGCGACATTTTTATCAACGTGGACGATGTTATTCGTTTTAAATGCAGCAGCTCAAACTCGCGCAGAGTCCTCTCTGCAACAGGTGCGCCCTCCGGCTTCAAGTGTTCCTATTAAAGAAAAAACTCCCAGCTAATTAAAGATGAATAGAAAGTGTCTGCTTCTCTCTACAGGCAGTAGTGTGATTAATAACAACTGACCAGCGCTCAGACACTTCAAGAAGCCTGTCTGCATGGACTCCTTCACACATCTCCCCCTGCTCCCCCTCCTCCCCCTCTTCCTTTGCACTACACCTCATATTGTATGCATCCTGCTCTTCAAGAATCACTGTAATGTGACAGCCTATGAATATTCTGCTGCTATGCTTTCTCATTATTATTCCAGCCTAGCAGTGGAGGCAGTAACCTCTGGGTACAGTATGTGCATCTTGTCAGCTCTGCAGCCCCCCATCCAGAGAAAAAAAAAAGCTACTCTGAAGTCCATCACCCGGTGGCTGGGTGACTGTTATCAGTCGAGAAACCCCTCCTGCCCCGCTCAGAGTCCGTCCTGCAACTTTTCCTTTCACCATTTCCTCCCCGTTTTCTGCGAAGGCTGTGCTCCGTTGAATCCTCTGAATTGACACTGTGTTATCTAATTAAAACAGAGGCTTTGTTCGGGGTGCTTTGTGACAGTATTTCTGTTGATAACGCTGCGCTCAGTCTGGCACTTCACCCTACCCCTGTCCCCAGTGCGTTCCTCTGATGAATGCAAATGATGACTATGGGGTGCTGTCCAAAATGGCCCCGTTGGCTCTCGAAGGATTTGCTGGGGATTAGCAGGGAAAGCTAGTTTACTGTGGAGAAGTGTGTGCCTGTTTACATCAGCAGTTTGTCGACTGTCTCGCACACCATCACTACCACGTTCCAACCTCCCCAGAGCTGCTGAAGAGACTTCACACCAGCTCTCGACTGTAATTAACGATGCGAGGGTCAGAAGGTATCGTCGGCCACATAATAGGTGAGCCACGGCCGGCCTGCCCATGTTGCCACAGCGTCCTTGAGTAAGGCCCAAATTGCTCCCCGAGGCAGCTGCCGTTTGTGTGCGCAAGGAAAACACATTGTGAAAACACTCTGTAAGAACCCATCTACCTCTAAAAGGCTCTGTATAAGTGCAGGCAATTTGCCATTTGACGGAAGTGTCTTCAAAAGCAGAGTTGTGCTGCAGCAGAAAGGAAACTCGCCCCCAGCCCCCCACCCAAATGGGATCTTCAAACAGCCTGTGATGTGATGCTCACTCTTGGTGCCTGTGAGTGCTCCGACTGAACAGCTGCGACCTTTTGTTGCGCTGGGCTTATTGGAGATCTTTGATCCCCGCTGGTCTCGTACTTACAGTAGAGTTACCTTGTTGCCTTGACTTTTTAAGGAAGCGCGTGCCCGTCCATTGATTTGCCTAGAAAGGGCAACCAAACCGCAGAAGATGAACCCACTGACAAACTATTGTATCTCCTGCAGAGATGAAGGAGCTGCAAAAATTGGATTTCGCGTACAAGTGGAATGACTATTGACAGCAGCACCACCCTACCCACCCCTCGCACCCAAGTGCTTGATTGTCACATCAACAAAATGTGAGAGGGTAACGTCGATGCGGCGAGCTTGGCTTTGAGGAGCGTAATTGGCTTTCCCGCTTACAGTCGTGTATTCAGGCTCAACTGTGCGACCCTTTTGATTGAACTTTCTGTCAAAATAAAAGCCCAAAGAACTGAAATAAATAGGTGCTTTAATACTGTGTGTCAGACTTGGAGCTAGATCGTGTCCATCTATTTTCCGTGCTGCTGCCTCAGCGATTGTGCAGCGCTCGCACGCGGGATGGACGCGTACGAGCTTTCCAGTCATTAGTGCATCTCAAATGTTTTCTTACCTCCAGCTGAGGCAGCCCTGTGGGACTCCAGTGGCACCGCTGAGCGAGAGAGCGCTCGCCGATTTGCTGATTAACATTATCAAGCATTAATAACGTCTCATTTTCTTTCATTAGGGGCTTCTCAGCTGTATTTTGCTGCCTCTGCAGCATGTCGTGCATTTGATCAAAGCAGCGTGTAGAGTATCACCCTCTGTGCTAATTGCTGAAGATGAGGCACGGCAGCAGTGGGAAGGGACTGCTGGGTAATTGCTGGCTTTGGCTTTGGATCCAGCTTTAAGGTCTGTAGAAAAAGCAGGACCTGGTCCCACCCCCGAGGCGAAAAGTAAAGTGACAGATTCAGATCTCAGCACAAACTTAAATGGGATTGATGAAGAGGCATGTGCAAGGATAACTTTGGTTGTGCAACAAATCCACGCGGATGTTTCCAGCACACTGTTTCATCTACAGAGATAGCAGCTTTTTGGCCTTTCGTACCTCAGAGAAGCTAGTTTCTGTGTAGGCGTTTACTTCCTATGAATAGAACCTGCATGTAAAACAGGTTGTAGATGGTAAACCATCTGAGAGGATTTCAGACCCACCTGTTCACGATAATTCGTTGACATTTGTCTTGAGTGCTGTAGAACATATTTCGATGATTTCAGCACTGATAGCTCTGTTAAATTACATACAAATACAAATCGGTATCTACAGATTTTAGGTGTCAGATTAAAATCATTCTCATACCTGCAATTGTGAACACAAACGTATGGTTGCTGTCAGTGGTGTAAAGCTTAATTGTGTATTTTCAGAAGACTCTAAAGCTTTGAGTCTCATTTTGGTTAAACTACATGAATACTCAACAATGGTCAGATTATTTTTACTTTAAAGCAGTTCTTGTGACCTGTGCAAAAAGGAAAAGATTATTATTATTATTATTATTATTATTATTATTATTAATAAATCCTTTATTTAAATGGGATTGTGATCTCTTTTTTAAGAATAACCTCTGTGCAACATATTATAACGACACATGCTTCATCACAAATTTACACACGTACAAGAGTAGTTGTTGCGCGTGGGGGATCGATACAGCATATAGTGTTGTGACATGTTGCATGGTGATTATGTGTCGATACAGGGTGACCAAATTTAAAATATTTATTAAATAAATTAAAATCCTCTGGGAATAATACGAACTAGAGGGATCATCTCATGCACCACCATCCTGTTATAATGTTAGCTGAGCAAAATTACATTAAATTGGCTCAACCAAAAATCCATCCAACACCGGGTGCACTTAGTTTGACAAAGCTGCCTAATTCAGACAAAGCTAATAGAGGAGTCGCACCAGTAAAAATAGGAACGCATCATCGTTCATCTACATCTGAAAACAAGAACCAGTGTCTGCCTGGTGATTGTATTGAATTTCAATTGTGACTGCTTTTGATGACAGGGTGATGGCACAGGTCACCTGATAGGAGACAGCTTGTCTGCAGACAGTCACAGTCTGACTTGGACTGACTGCAGTCACTCTCAATATGTCAAAGGGTTGCAAATAACTGTTGTCTAATTTACAAACAGATTGCCATCAGTCTGAAAGAGTTTTTGTTAATGAGCACAACCTGAGGGGACTCAGCTCGTTGCCAGCTGCTTGTACTCTGGTTATGTGATGTTTGGTGCTTTATCACAGTTAATTGTTGTGTTATTAGAAAAAGACTGCATGTAATTGCCAGCTTGACCCCCAGTCAATCACAGCCTGATATACGTGATAACAGGAATTGTATTTTTGATCTCATTTTTCAGCAAAAAAATTAAAATACAATTAATAATTAAAAAAACCAACAACTTTATCTCAGTGGATACAGCATATATTGACAAAGATTAAGTTTAAGCACATAATTTAGAGTGGAAAATTGTTATAAATCACAATACATGTCATTGTAGTACTAAAAATCTGAGTAATATTGCATCGTGGGGTTTCTGGTGATTATCCTGTCTTATGGTTGCCAGTGAATAAAGTGTCAGCAGGTAAACAGGTGGTCTTTGTAGTACAGACTTTTAAACAAGTCAAAATTCTAACACAGAATCAAGAGGCTTTGAAGTGGATGTAGAAGCAGGCATATAAACTAGATTTAGAAAGAAAATACTTTGATGAATTGCCAAATGCACTTGAATGGCCATTAGGATATCTGGGTTTGCCTAAAATGTAGACTTAAATCTTCAGTAGTTTTTGCTTAAACCCAACCTATGTATCAACTGATATTAGCTATTAGCTAGATGTATCGGTATCAGTTTCTATAAAGCTCATAAATGAAAGTTTAGAAAAATAAAGAAGAGATGGAGGAAACACCCTTCAACCACGGTATCAGTGTTGATGTTGCCTGCTTTTTCCACTAGAGGTCACTCTGCAATTTCTCTGTTGTCAACATGTGTTTGAAACAACACAAACACAACATCCGAGCGGAGTTGGGCAAGAGTAAACGAGTAATCCACAACTTGTTGGTACAATATAGTTTTCTCTTACTAAGGACTCATAAATAATTGCACCTAACAAATGTCAGAGATTTACTTTGTCAGAAAGAAAAAATATATTAAAAAAAATTCTAAACCACCAAACGTCAATGAGGGGCTTAAATGCCCCATTTCGGCTCTACTTTTACCTTCTTTCTAATTGTGCAACTTGTGATATTCTGGACCCATCATTAAAAAACTGAGAATTAGTCAGTTCTATTTGTTATCAGTGTTTTCTTCTTAAAAGTCACTGTTGTTTCTTGCACTTTGATGCAATTGGACATCTTCATCGGTCCAGGCGTGCGTGTTTGCGAGCGTCAGCTGTGACCAGCATGCTGAAATGACAAATTGACAAAGTGCCAGCCACTATGCACTCCTCCATTAGCTCTATGAATAACCAAGCTTTAGGAGGCAAGAGTGGACCAGGGTAATATATGCATTAAAAACC